CGACTCATTTTACTGCAATTATCATTAAAGGGCTTACTCAAGCTTTAGGAATCAAATGTGAATGTCATAACCCCTGGCATCCATCCTTATCAGGAAGAATAGAAAGGATGAATCAGACTTTGAAGAATCCTCTAACTAAGTTAATTTTAGAAACTCTATTACCCTGGACTAAGTGTCTCTCTGTTGCTCTACTCAGGATCGGAACTGCCTCGCAAAAAGACGTTGGCCTATCCTCTTACGAAATGCTCTATGGGTTACCATACTTAAGCTCCACTAGTGATATTCCCACTTTTGAGACCAAAGATCAATTCCTTAGGAACTACATACTTGGTCTATCTTCTATCTTATCTTCCCTTAGGACTAAAGGTCTCAGCACAAACCCCACTTCTTGAGTTTCCAGTTCATCAGCACTGGCCCAGAGACTACGTCCTCATTAAGAGCTGGAAAGAAGAGAAACTTGAACTGTCCTGGGAGGGACCATATCTAGTGCTCCTAACAACTGAAACTGCAGTCTGAACCACCGAGAAAGGATGGACCCATCACACCTGAGTCAAGAAAGTGCCGCCCCCTCCAGGGTCATGGGCTATAGTCCCAGGGGAAAATCCTACCAAACTAAAGCTAAGGAAAGTTTAGCTCTCTTTCATTTATTCTATTACTCCTTCTTCTTTCCTTGTTCTGTTGCTAGCCACCTCATTATTAATGCAACTAGATCAGACTCACCCCAAACCATGACCTTTGATGCTTGTTTAGTTATGTCTTGTGGGGATCTCCAAAGCCAGAGACAGCTTGCAGCAGCAGGGAAATATCTCTGCCCCATCCACAGCAGGTGCTTCTCCCATTTTGTCATACTTGGGAATGTGTCATTTGGACCACTCAATGTCAAGAATGGGTCCCCTCAGAGGATTTCTCGCTAGCAGTTCTAAAGCCCTATAATCATTTTACTAAAGGAAGTGCCCCTCCCAATTGTCAACATAACCAATGTAACCCAGTGCAAATTTCCATCACCATCCCAACTCTCCAAGATTCCTCCCCTACCCTGAACTGTTTTTATGGTATGGGAACAGATGTAACAGGAAAAGACCCTATAGGATTCTTCGAGTTGCACCTCATTACATCCTCATCCCTCACATTTCCACCTCTATCCTCTTCTAAGGATCTTCTCCACCTAATGACAAAACAAACGTAGCTATTGTAGAAGTTAAAAATTTAAAACAAACACTGGCAATTGAAACAGGATACCATGATGCAAATGCCTGGATGGAATGGATTGAATATTCTGTTCGCACTCTAAATAAAAGCGACTATTACGCTTGTGCGCAAGGTAGGCCAGAGGCCCAGGTTATCCCCTTTCCACTTGGATGGTTTTCTGACCAGCCAGGCATGAGCTGTATGGTGGCTCTTTTCTAAGACCCCACAGCCTGGGGTAATGAATTCTGTCAAATTCTCTCTCTGCTATTCCCTGAAGTTCAACATCCTGCAGGTCAGCCCCTGAGGGCCATCCAGCCTCCATCTCCAGATGCCAATTTTACCTCACATCTCTCATGACAGGGACAACATTTGGCGTTTCTTGGATACCTGAAGGGATGCAGTGAGTTTAAATATTTCCAATAGTTTACCAATCAGTCTGCCCTTGTTCATCCCCGTGCTGATGTATGGTGATATTTTGGTGGACCTCTTCCGGACACTCTGCCAAGTAACTGAAGCGGCACTTGCGCTCTAACTCAATTGGCCATCCCTTTCACTCTGGCATTTCATCAACCAGAAAAAGGGAAACCACAACACCATAAAATGAGAGAGGCCCCTCATGGATCTTTCAACTCTCATGTTTATATAGCTGCAGTTGGAGTCCCACAGGGGGTACCTGATAGATTCTAAGCCCAAGACCAAATAGCAGCAGGATTTGAATCATTATTTCCATGGCTAACTATTAATAAAAATGTAGATTGGATAAATTACATCTATTATAACCAGCAGCGATTACTTAATTACACTAGGGATGCTGTCAAAGAATTAGCCAAACAATTAGGGCCTACTAGCCAGATGGCTTGGGAAAACAGAATGCCCCTACATATGATATTAGCAGAAAAAGGTGGAGTTTGTGTTATGATAGGAACCCAATGCTGCACCTACATTCCCAACAATACAGTCCCTGATGGAACAATTACAAAAGCTTTACAAGGTCTTACCTCCTTATCAAATGAATTAGCCACAGAATCTGGGATAAACGACCCTTTCACAGGATGGTTAGGGAAATGGTTTGGTAACTGGAAAGGACTCATGGCCTCTACTATTACTTCTCTTGCAGTCACAATAGCTGTGTTTATTCCTGTTGGATGCTGCATCATATCCTGCATTCATGGACTAGTCCAAAGACTTATAGAAACAGCTGTTACCAGAACCTTCCCTAGTTCTTCCCAATCCTATACTAATAGATTCTTTCTCCTGGAAGAACAACAAAGCCGAGTCATATTAGGTAAGTTTGAATAACAAAACGTGTAAATTCAAGAGCGGGAAATTGTTGTTAAGAACAAATAGTTCCTCTCTTCAATGGGTTTCAGTTCCTGATTCTTTGTTCTATTCTAAAAGGTAATCTTACCCATTCATCTATCAGCCCTCCCTATCTCTGCTATGCCCAAACACCTCAGGAGGTACCATACCTGTCCTTCCTGTCAAACGCCCCTTGCCTCCTTTGATGATGTCAACAGCAGCCAATCGGAATTAGCCTAGATTGTGTAGTTTGACCCCAGTCCACAGTGGGAGGACACAGGAACAGGGTTTGCATTAGGAATAAAAAAACTTCTGCTCTCCTTTGTTTTGTGTGTTCTCCCTTGCCTCTGCCTTGTATGCAAGAGGTGCCCTTCTATAGAAGTACATTTCCTTGCTGAGAGAACTTTTGCCTGAGTGCTAGTTTCACTCTGTGGCATTGAATATTTGTTTCTAACAATAAGAACACTTAGATCTACACATGCCACACGTGCCTGAAGCTATCATAGGCTTATCCATACAAACTAGTGAATATTTTCCTTGGGCCAACTTGAGTTAGGTTTCTGTCATTTCCCTGAAATGAGTCCTAACTAACACACTTCTGGATGGAATGGATTAAGCAGTGCCTTAGGCGCTGTTTTCTTAAAGATCGTCATTAATACTAACAACAACAGCTGATATTTATTGAGTGCTTACTATATACCAGGTATCATTTTAAGCACTTTGCTTGAATAAAATCGTTAAAACCTCACAATAACTCTATGATGTTACTATTATTATCTCCTGTTTACAGGTGAAAAAACAGAGGAACAGAGATTAAGAAACTTGTCCTCAGGTTATACACTTGTAACTGGAAGATTTGAGACTCAAACTCAGGGAAGAGTTCCACACCTGTGCTATTCTACACTGCCTCAAGAGTCAGCAAATCCAGTCGCCTTTTCTTATTCTCTTTAGCCTCTTTGCCCAGTTCGACTATCTATTTGCTCTTCAAACTTGCATAGAAAGCTTTAGCTTTCCAGTCCTTCTATTAGGAAATTCATTAGGTTTTCTTTTGCCCTGCCTCCTAAATCTAAGGTTTTCCTAATAATTCTCTACTCTTTTCTTGGTAATCTCACATACCTCTGTGCATTAACTCAAGCCTCTAATTTTGAACTTCCTGCTATCTCCAAATAACCCAAATGTCCTGCTAGGGCCTCAGATGGCATGAATTGCATCACACAATGTTGAGTTTGTAGGAAGAAATTAAAATTTTTTTTATTATTTCAGTCTTGGTTGGACATTATAATTTATGCCAGAGGTTATAAAATTCAACCGTTAGGTAATAAGATTATTGACAGAGGTGCTTTGGGAGGACTAAGGATTCAGCTAGCCATTGTATCTGGTGTGACGAGAGATGTTAGTTAATATTTACATACTAATTACCTAGCAGTTAAAATAAATCTGTACTTATTTTGTATCTTATAATCATAAAGCTGAGTTTTTGTCTGTCTTTTTACTAAAATGTAAATGATCTTCCCTGAAATATTGAAAATAATACTCTTCATTTGTACCTTGGAGATGATGAATATTTGTTAAGATGTTTATTAAAGCAAAAAGTGTTTCTTCTCTTCTGGTTGTAAAATGACTGGAGAGGTTGTTTTTAGTTTATCACACCTGTGCAAATTAATTCCTCTCTAGGGTCATGGCTTCTCATATTTGGCCTTTCTTTAGAATCGTCTGATATCCCACACCAAGAAATTCTGATTCAATTGTACCAGAGTAAGAATAGGGCATTGGTATTTTCACAAGCACTCCAGGTAATTCCAATGTGCTTCCAAGCTTGAGAATCATTGCTCAGAAGGTACACTTTTTAGGGTTGCTCAATAAATATGGAACACCCAGTTAAATTTTAATTTTTAGTAACCAAACATTTTTAGCATGTTTTATACTAAGAATTAATTCACTGTTTATCCAAAATTCAATTTTAACTGGGCATCCTGTGTTTTTATTTGCTAAACTTGTTAACTTTATCATTTATCCAAGTTCATCCCTGTGATTTCATCAGAAATAAGAGATTATATTACATTACTGAATCAGAAGCATCAAGACTTTCATCTTGTCTTTCTTCTTTCAGGCCTGTTTGTAATAAATCTTGTACCTCCAAAAGTTTATTTTTTTAAAAAGGAAGCACTGCAAATTCAGCCAGGAGGCCAACATTTTCCTCTAAAAGTTGCCCACATTCTCCCTGTTGTGTGTTTCCCAGGTGGTTCCCTCAAAGGAAGGTCAAGTCTCTCTCAGGCTTCAAAGCTCTCTGACATTTCTTGTCGTCTCATCTTTCTGATTCTAGCTAGAGAATGTTTTCTGCTTTTAAAGGTTCATGTGATTAGGCTGGGCCTGCCTAGGTGATCTGAAATAGTCTCCCTATTTGGGTCAGTAACTTTTATTACATCAGTAAAGTCCCTTTTCTATATACTGTAACATCTTTACAGGATCCAGAGATTAGAATGTGGACATTTTGGGGGATACATTCTGCCTACCACAGTTGTTACGGATGGCACTTTCACTTCTCTCTTCGACAGATTCTCCGCCTATCCACTCTGTCATCGAATACATCCTCCAATTGCTTCCTGAGAAAGAATGCATGAAAATACTATTTAAACATTTGTATATTTGAAAATGTCTTTTTAGACCTCATACTTCATCAATTTCAAAATTGGAAATCATTTTTTCTCAGAATTTATCTTTTATGTTTCTGTCGAGAATCCAATGCCATTCTGATTTCTAAATCTTCATAAATCATCTCCTATTTTTTCCTCCATGAAAGCTATTAAGATCTCTCTGACTCATGTGGTTTGAAATTTCACAACTTTGTTATAGATAATTTTTATCTATTAAACTGAGAGCTCATGTGCTTCTATTCTTTAGTTCTGAGAACTGTTGTCCTGGTTTCTGGTAATTATCTTTCTTCTCTTTTCTCTACTAGCTGTTAGATATTCCACCTTTCCTTGCCTAACTGCCCTGGCTAGTGCTTCCACTATAATGTTGAATAGAAGTAGCGACAATTGACACTAGAGGGGCAGAGCAGGATGGCCGAATAGGAACAGCTCTAGTCTCCAACTCCCAGCGTGAGTGACACAGAAGACAGGTGATTTCTGCATTTTCAACTGAGGTACTGGGTTCATCTCACTAGGGAGTGCCGGACAATTGGTGCTGGTCAGCTACTGCAGCTCGACCAGCGACAGCTGAAGCAGGGTGAGGCATCGCCTCACCTGGGAAGCAAAAGGGGGAAGGGAATCCCTTTTCCTAGCCAGGGGAACTGAGACACACAACACCTGGAAAATCGGGTAACTCCCACCCCAATACTGGGCTTTAAGAAAACAGGCACACCAGGAGATCATAACCCACACCTGGCCTGGAGGGTCCCACACCCACGGAGTCTCCCTCATTGCTAGCACAGCAGTCTGTGATCTACCGGCAAGGCAGCAGTGAGGCTGAGGGAGGGGCGCCCGCCATTGCTGAAGCTTAAGTAGGTAAACAAAGCCGCTGGGAAGCTCAACTAGGTGGAGCTCACAGCTGCTCAAGGAGTCCTGCCTGTCTCTGTAGACTCCACCTCTGGGGACAGGGCACAGTAAACAACAACAAAAGCAGCAGAAACCTCTGCAGACGCAAATGACTCTGTCTGACAGCTTGGAAGAGAGCAGTGGATCTCCCAACACGGAGGCTGAGATCTGAGAAGGGACAGACTGCCTGTTCAAGTGGGTCCCTGACTCCTGAGTAGCCTAACTGGGAGACATCCCCCACTAGGGGCAGTCTGACACCCCACACCTCACAAGGTGGAGTACACCCCTGAGAGGAAGCTTCCAAAGCAAGAATCAGACAGGTACACTCGCTGTTCAGAAATATTCTATCTTCTGCAGCCTCTGCTGCTGATACCCAGGCAAACAGGGTCTGGAGTGGACCTCAAGCAATCTCCAACAGACCTACAGCTGAGGGTCCTGACTGTTAGAAGGAAAACTATCAAACAGGAAGGACACCTACACCAAAAGCCCATCAGTACGTCACCATCATCAAAGACCAGAGGCAGATAAAACCACAAAGATGGGGAAAAAGCAGGGCAGAAAAGCTGGAAATTCAAAAAATAAGAGCACATCTCCCCCGGCAAAGGAGCGCAGCTCATCGCCAGCAACGGATCAAAGCTGGACGGAGAATGACTTTGACGAGATGAGAGAAGAAGGCTTCAGTCCATCAAACTTCTCAGAGCTAAAGGAGGAATTACGTACCCAGCACAAAGAAACTAAAAATCTTGAAAAAAAGTGGAAGAATTGATGGCTAGAGTAATTAATGCAGAGAAGGTCATAAACGAAATGAAAGAGATGAAAACCATGACACGAGAAATACGCGACAAATGCACAAGCTTCAGTAACCGACTCGATCAACTGGAAGAAAGAGTATCAGCGATTGAAGATCAAATGAATGAAATGAAGTGAGAAGAGAAACCAAAAGAAAAAAGAAGAAAAAGAAATGAACAAAGCCTGCAAGAAGTATGGGACTATGTAAAAAGACCAAATCTACGTCTGATTGGGGTGCCTGAAAGTGAGGGGGAAAATGGAACCAAGTTGGAAAATACTCTTCAGGATATCATCCAGGAGAACTTCCCCAACCTAGTAGGGCAGACCAACATTCAAATCCAGGAAATACAGAGAACGCCACAAAGATACTCCTCGAGAAGCGCAACTCCAAGACACATAATTGCCAGATTCACCAAAGTTGAAATGAAGGAAAAAATGTTAAGGGAAGCCAGAGAGAAAGGTCGGGTTACCCACAGAGGGAAGCCCATCAGACTAACAGCAGATCTCTTGGCAGAAACTCTACAAGCCAGAAGAGAGTGGGGACAATATTCAACATTCTTAAAAAAAAGCATTTTAAACCCAGAATTTCATATCCAGCCAAACTAAGTTTCATAAGTGAAGGAGAAATAAAATCCTTTACAGATAAGCAAATACTTAGAGATTTTGTCACCACGAGGCCTGCCTTACAAGAGGCCCTGAAGGAAGCACTAAACATGAAAAGGAACAACCGGTACCAGCCATTGCAAAAACATGCCAAAATGTAAAGACCATCGAGGCTAGGAAGAAACTGCATCAACTAACGAGCAAAATAACCAGTTAATATCATAATGGCAGGATCAAGTTCACACATAACAATATGAACCTTAAATGTAAATGGACTAAATGCTCCAATTAAAAGACACAGACTGGCAAACTGGATAAAGAGTCAAGACCCATCAGTCTGCTGTGTTCAGGAGACACATCTCACATGCAGAGACATACATAGGCTCAAAATAAAGGGATGGAGGAAGATTTACCAAGCAAATGGAGAACAAAAAAAAGCAGGGATTGTAATACTAGTCTCTGATAAAATAGACTTTAAACCATCAAAGATCAAAAGAGACAAAGAAGGCCATTACATAATGGTAAAGGGATCAATTCAACAGGAAGAGATAACTATCCTAAATATTTATGCACCCAACACAGGAGCACCCAGATTCATAAAGCAAGTCCTTAAAGACTTACAAAGAGACTTAGACTCCCATACAATAATAATGGGAGACTTCAACACTCCACTGTCAACATTAGACAGATCAACGAGACAGAAAGTTAACAAGGATATCCAGGAATTGAACTCATCTCTGCAGCAAGCAGACCTAATAGACATCTATAGAACTCTCCACCTCAAATCAACAGAATATACATTCTTCTCAGCACCACATCGCACTTATTCCAAAATTGACCACATAATTGAAAGTAAAGCACTCCTCAGCAAACGTACAAGAACAGAAATTATAACAAACTGTACCTCAGACCACAGTGCAATCAAATTAGAACTCAGGACTAAGAAACTCAATCAAAACAGCTCAACTACATGGAAACTGAACAACCTGCTCCTGAATGACTACTGGGTACATAACGAAATGAAGGCAGAAATAAAGATGTTCTTTGAAACCAATGAGAACAAAGATACAACATACCAGAATCTCTGGAACACATTTAAAGCAGTGTGTAGAGGGAAATTTATAGCACTAAATGCACACAAGAGAAAGCTGGAAAGATCTAAAATTGACACTCTAACATCACAATTAAAAGAACTAGAGAAGCAAGAGCAAACACATTCAAAAACTAGCAGAAGGCAAGAAATAACTAAGATAGAGCAGAACTGAAGAAGATAGAGACACAAAAAACCCTCCAAAAAATCAATGAATCCAGGAGCTGGTTTTATGAAAAGATCAACAAAATTGACAGACCGCTAGCAAGACTAATAAAGAAGAAAAGAGAGAAGAATCAAATAGACGCAATAAAAAATGATAAAGGGGATATCACCACCGACCCCACAGAAATACAAACTACCATCAGAGAATACTATAAACACCTCTACGCAAATAAACTAGAAAATCTAGAAGAAATGGATAATTTCGTGGACACTTATACTCTTCCAAGACTAAATCAGGAAGAAGTTGAATCCCTGAATAGACCAATAGCAGGCTCTGAAATTGAGGCAATAATTAATAGCCTACCAACCAAAAAATATCCAGGACCAGATGGATTCACAGCTGAATTCTACCAGAGGTACAAGGAGGAGCTGGTACCATTCCTTCTGAAACTATTCCAATCAACAGAAAAAGAGGGAATCCTCCCTAACTCATTTTATGAGGCCAACATCATCCTGATACCACAGCCTGGCAGAGACACAACAAAAAAAGAGAATTTTAGACCAATATCCCTGATGAACATCGATGCAAAAATCCTCAATAAAATGCTGGCAAACCAGATTCAGCAGCACATCAAAAAGCTTATCCACTATGATCAAGTGGGCTTTATCCCTGGGATGCAAGGCTGGTTCAACATTCGCAAATCAATAAACATAATCCAGCATATAAACAGAACCAAAGACAAGAACCACATGATTATCTCAATAGATGCAGAAAAGGCTTTTGACAAAATTCAACAGCCCTTCATGCTAAAAACGCTCAATAAATTCGGTATTGATGGAACGTACCTCAAAATAATAAGAGCTATTTATGACAAACCCACAGCCAATATCATACTGAATGTGCAAAAACTGGAAAAATTCCCTTTGAAAACTGGCACAAGACAGAGATGCCCTCTCTCACCACTCCTATTCAACATAGTGTTGGAAGTTCTGGCTAGGGCAATCAGGCAAGAGAAAGAAATCAAGGGTATTCAGTTAGAAAAAGAAGAAGTCAAATTGTCCCTGTTTGCAGATGACATGATTGTATATTTAGAAAACCCCATTGTCTCAGCCCAAAATCTCCTTAAGCTGATAAGCAACTTCAGCAAAGTCTCAGGATACAAAATTAATGTGCAAAAATCACAAGCATTCTTATACACCAGTAACAGACAAACAGAGAGCCAAATCATGAATGAACTTCCATTCACAATTGCTTCAAAGAGAATAAAATACCTAGGAATCCAACTTACAAGGGATGTAAAGGACCTCTTCAAGGAGAACTACAAACCACTGTTCAGTGAAATCAAAGAGGACACAAACAAATGGAGGAACATACCATGCTCATGGATAGGAAGAATCAATATCGTGAAAATGGCCATACTGCCCAAGGTTATTTATAGATTCAATGCCATCCCCATCAAGCTACCAATGAGTTTCTTCACAGAATTGGAAAAAACTGCTTTAAAGTTCATATGGAACAAAAAAGGAGCCCGCATCTCCAAGACAATCCTAAGTCAAAAGAACAAAGCTGGAGGCATCACGTTACCTGACTTCAAGCTATACTACAAGGCTAGAGTAACCAAAACAGCATGGTACTGGTACCAAAACAGAGATATAGACCAATGGAACAGAACAGAGTCCTCAGAAATAATACCACACATCTACAGCCATCTGATCTTTGACAAACCTGAGAGAAACAAGAAATGGGGAAAGGATTCCCTATTTAATAAATGGTGCTGGGAAAATTGGCTAGCCATAAGTAGAAAGCTCAAACTGGATCCTTTCCTTACTCATTATACGAAAATTAATTCAAGATGGATTAGAGACTTAAATGTTAGACCTAATAACATAAAAATCCTAGAAGAAAACCTAGGTAGTACCATTGAGGACATAGGCATGGGCAAAGACTTCATGTCTAAAACACCAAAAGCAACGGCAGCAAAAGCCAAAATTGACAAATGGAATCTCATTAAACTAAAGAGCTTCCACGCAGCAAAAGAAACTACCATCGGAGTGAACAGGCAACCTACAGAATGGGAGAAAATTTTTGCAATCTACTCATCTGACAAAGGGCTAATATCCAGAACCTACAAAGAACTCAAACAAATTTACAAGAAAAAAACAAACAACCCCATCAAAAAGTGGGCAAAGGATATGAACAGACATTTCTCAAAAGAAGACATTCATACAGCCAACAGATACATGAAAAAATGCTCATCATCACTGGCCATCAGAGAAATGCAAATCAAAACCACAATGAGATACCATCTCACACCAGTTAGAATGGCAATCTTTCAAAAGTCAGGAAACAACAGGTGCTGGAGAGGATGTGGAGAAATAGGAACACTTTTACACTGTTGATGGTATTGTAAATTAGTTCAACCATTATGGAAAACAGTATGGCGATTCCTCAAGGATCTAGAACTAGAAGTACCATATGACCCAGCCATCCCATTACTGGGTATATACCCAAAGGATTATAAATCATGCTGCTATAAAGACACATGCACACGTATGTTTATTGAGGCACTATTTACAATAGGAAACACCTGGAATCAACCCAAATGTCCATCAGTGGCATACTGGATTAAGAAAATGTGGCACATAGATACCATGGAATACTATGCAGCCATAAAAAAGATGAGTTTGTGTCCTTTGTAGGGACATGGATGCAGCTGGAAACCATCATTCTTAGCAAACTATCGCAAGAACAGAAAACCAAACACCGCATGTTCTCACTCATAGGTGGGAACTGAACAATGAGATCACTTGGACTGGGGAAGGGGGACATCACACACTGGGGCCTATCATGGGGAGGGGGAAGGGGGGAGGGATTGCATTGGGAGTTACACCTGATGTAAATGACGAGTTGATGGGTGCTGATGAGTTGATGGGTGCAGCACACCAACATGGCACAAGTATACATATGTAACAAACCTGCACGTTATGCACATGTACCCTAGAACTTAAAGTATAATAATAATAAATAAATAAATAAATAAATAAATAAATAAAAGAAGTAGCGACAATTGACATCCTTGTCTTATTCCTGATCCTAGGTGAAAATGTTCATTCTTTCAAGATTAAGTATGATGTTAATTATGGATTTTTCATAGAGGCTCTTTATTAGGTTGAGGAAGTTTCCTTTTATTCCTAGTTGAAGTGTTTACATCAAGAAAGGGTGTTAGATTTTGTCAATTGCTTTTCCTTCATCTTTTGAGATGATCATGTGGTTTTTGTCATTTAGTCTACTAAAGTAGTGCTTACATTAATTTTGTATGTTACACTAAACTTCCATTCCTGAGATAAATCCTACTTGGTCATGTTGTATAATTTTTTTTAATGTTGCTGGGTTTGGCTTGCTAGTATTTTGTTGAGGATTTTTATGTTACTATGCATAAGGTATATTGGTCTGTCGTTTTCTTGTGATGTCTTTCATTTTGTTCTTTATTTCCTTGTATTTCCAGATGGGAAGTCACTGTATACAGCCCTAATCTTAGGACAAGTTTCCAAATAAGCCACTTTAGGCAAATAAAAATTTCTGTATCTAGCAGAGAAACAAAGCTATATATTCTTTTGAGGTTCCCTCCTAGCTTCCTTCCCTCTCCTCAAGCCAACTAATAAAACTTGTTTTTTATATTCCAAATATTATTTATAGTCGTTTGATCATCTATGAGGCACCTGCAAGTCAACATTTACTGTAAGCAGCCCCCTCACTTCCTAAATAAGCAGTTTTGATTTAGCTCCAGTCATCAACTCACCTCCCAACTGTAATTTGTCAAGCGTAGTGTCAGTCAGGTGCACTTCAGTGGTTAATCTCCTTGCACACCGGTGGAACTTTAGGCACAAGAAGGTAAGCAACGAAGATAGTGATACACAAAGGGAAAACTAAATCCAGGTAGTGATATACAAAGGGAAAGATAATGATATACAAAGGGAAAACTAAACCCAGCTTAGAAAGTCCTAGGCATGGGGATGGGTGGCTGGGACGCCGGCCTAAGATTTTAGCAGGGAACAGACCCAGCAGTTGGATGAGATCTCTGAACTCCAGAAAAGGCCGAGTGAGGACAAGGAAGACCACACTGATAATTTCTGTGGCTCTGGTAAGGGGATGACAAGGGAGAAAAACCTTCCCACGGTTCCGTCTGGCCCGCGGCGCTTGTCTGCCTGCGCGAGGTCAAAGCCCGGCGCCGCCCACGCGCGGCTCGGGTGGGAACCCGCAGAGGTGGGGTGAGCAGGGCAGCTGGCGGCGGCGGGCCAGCGCCGGGGCGCCACGTCCGAGGCCGCGGGGTCGGGGCTGCCGGCACAGCTAGAGCGCTTTCCGCGGGGTTTGGCTCCTGTCGCTTCCCGTCTCGCTGAACCGGCATCGCCGCTGCCGGAGTCGCAGCGACTCCTCAGAGCCTGGCTGCTGGCGGCCGGGAGCGCCGGGAGGGGGCGCGAAGCCGGAGGCTCCGGGACGTGGACACAGGTAAAGGCCGGCGGGTCGGAGTCGGGCTGAGCGCGGCGGCGGCGCCTCTCGGAGGGGCCTGGCCTCGGCCGGGCCCTGCCCAGCCGCGGTGGCCCAGGTCTCCACGTTGGCCCAAGTGGGGACGTGCCAAGGGGCTGGGGTAGGGCTGCCGCTGGCCTGGCCGCCTCTCGCCTGGGCCTCCGGTGACGCGGCGGCGGCTTAACTTTCGCACCTGAGACTCTCCGAGCGGCCTCGGGGCGCGCCCGCCTTGAGGTTGGAATCACACGGGGTGGAAAAAGCTGAGCCCTAGACGCTAGGCGCCGGAGGCGTGGCGGAGGAGGCCGCGGAGGGTAGGGTGGGTGCCAGGGGTCCAGTACTGAACACTCTCCAGGTCTGAGGTGGGGAACTGCGTCCTGTTTAATTTCGGAGCTTGTGGGGACCACACACGCCCTTCCACGGCCAGTGCCTTCCGCACGGATCCACTTTCCTTTGTCTGGTCCATTTCAGTATTGACGTCGCAATTGCTTTTGTTGCAGCCTTGGGTCCGGAGTGTACGACTTTATACTAGGCAGAGGTCATAAGCTCTCAAATGCACCCGGGCGGAGGTGGGGAGATTGTCCTTTGGTGGGAAATTACTAGTGCTGCTATGAGCACTAACACGTATATACTACCTTGTTTTTTTTTTTCCAGATAGTGCTCATTATTTTCGTAGCATCTAAGTGCTTTCGTAAGTGCACCTGTGAGAGCTTTCATTAGTTAACTTCAAAGGTGCATTATGCGGACAGGTTACTATTATCCCATTTTATAGACCAGACAGCTGAGGCACCCAGGAGGAAAAGTGATTATATCAAAACTAAGCAGTCAGTCCTTGTGGAAGCTGTGATTAGAACTTGTCTGACTAGAGTTGTCCTTGGTCCAGTTGGTCTCTTAGCCTCAAACAAAATTTAGCCGTCAAAGATGGACGATCTGATGCTCATTGTATTTTTATTTACTAATTGTTAAAATCTTTCTTAAAAAATAGAGTCGAATCCTTTCAGACTCCTGTTATAGTACCCCTAAAAGTGATACTTGAAAGATCATAATCACTCTGGTTTCAAATGAGTGGTATCATTTGAGTCGTGGAAAGAAGTAAAATTCCGTTGTCTTTTATCTGTCAAACTTTCATCTCCTGTATAAATGTAGTGCCACTGGCAGCCCGAAGATACTTGGTGACAATAGCAGAGACTCTAAATATTTAATAAGTAGAATCGAGGAGGCGAGCTGTTAGATTTCCCGAAATATTTGAGCAGCAAGTTTTTTCTCATAAAGAATAAAAAATTTAGGAGGATAGTCATTTGAATTACTTTAATGAAAATTATCTTGTAATTGTGTACGTGTTACGTTGTACTTTCTCTCTCTGGAACCATAAAAAATTTAGCAGTTTCCCTAGGGTTTGCTCTTCGTTTTGTCAATGGTATTTTGTTAGTCCATTTTTCTTCCTCTCTTTAATTTTTTATGTGTTTGGTTTTTCAAATGAAGATTTTTTTCTTCGAAAATTCAAAAAATAATATTGAAAAAAACAAGCTTTCTTTCTTGATAAAATAGACTTAATTAGCACTTTTTTGAGTGTGTCTGAGGACCGACACCAGCCTCTTTAATAAGCACCTCATGAAGCAGGAATTCTTCAGGCAAGAATGCAATACATTAATCATTTTAATCTATTTCTGTAATATTTTATGACATAGCTACCTGAATAATAATGCTTTTTACTCTTACAATGTCTTTTCATCAAGGAGCATAAAGATTAAAAATTTCGCTTAAATTTTGCTAACTACATAGTACAAGGGGGCAGTATGCTTAGACTTAATTGTTGCTTTCGTGGAATAAACACAGTTCTCTGTCCCTTATACCACCTCCATTTGGCCATCTGAAAAAAGGATGGTGATCTGTCCTTCCCTTCATTGGGATATTTGGGGAATTAATGAAGTAATATCTCGAAAGTAGTTTGAACTCCACGGAAGAAAGCAGCTTTGTAACTTTGAACTGTGATTGCAGAGTCTTGAAGCATTTTCCCTCCTTAAACATGCTGCTGTTTTTATTTTTAGAGAGTGGTCATTCCAAGTAGTCACCTCAGGAGGCTAAACACTTATTCCCGTAGTGCTACTGCCATTCATAATTATTTTGTATTTTTTGAAATTTCTAGTCAGTTTACAAGCAAAATAAAAACATTTCATGATAACGTTCATAAACACTTGTTTTTTTCTATTTTTTAATCAAAAATCTAATTCAGCTTGAGTACCTGTTTTCTTTGCTAAATTTGGCAGAATGATTTCTACATGGTTGTAAAACGCAATTCTACCTTCAAGATTTTACCACTATTAAGGATATTTAAAGGATTGTCCTGATGGCTACGAAGGCAGTTTCAAAAGGGCAGTTTAAAAATAGTTTAAAATAATGACAGACATTATTAGAATAAGTTTGCAATCTTCCCAGAAGTCTACTACAAAGGGGACAATGCTTACCTGTAGGCTGAAGTTCTGTGCGTATGTGTACGTTTGTATGTAGTCTCTATTGTAACCCATCAATTATCTCTTTTCATCACATTGATTTCTTAGAAATTATGTATTTTACTTACATATTAAATAGAGTACATTAAGTAGATCACATCATACTGCAACAGTGTTAGATTGAGAGTGTATTTCATAGAGAAGTTTGAATTTCACATAAATTTAAATTTAAATCTTTGTAACAATTTTGAATACTAAAATGTGGCTCCATATTATATGTTTTGAGTGTAATACAGCCGAGGCAATATAGCCTCAAAATATAAAATTGCTATTTTCAAAAAAAGTTATTAAGTTGTGTGTGCAACAGACTTTCCTGACCACACCAATGTCAAAAGAAAAAATTTTGACAAATTAGTTTAAATATCAAATTGGCTTTTATTGGCAATTCTCAAATTGGGTAGCATCTTATTCCATAAAATAGAATTCCATGCCTTAGGCATGGCAGAATAGTTGGTTTTTTGTAAGGTGGGAACAAGGAAACAGAGTAATTTTTAAAAGTCTGTTGGTTAACATCAGATTACTTAAGGTTACTTTTAAGTGTTAAAGCAGAAGGGACTACTTATGCCAGCTCGGGTTTACTAACCCCTTTCCTGTTGCAGTGAATCTCCTGTTTTCGGGAAAAACTAGTTTGGTCTTTGACCTACTTCCTTAAAGTTTCAGTTTGATTATGTGGCACTGAGCACGAGTGACTCCCTTTTGGTTTGATCTCTTGGGGCCTAGTGGAGGAGCTCCGTCTAAAACAACGTCCTGTTGTAAATTTTTATTTAACAATTCTATCCTTTCAGTAAGCTTTCACCTAAGTGAGAATGTGACCAAAACTTAGGGCATTAACGCTACTGTCAGTTACTATCATTCTGGGTTTTCAGTCTCAACATGTCACTAATAGGTTAGGTGTCCTCCTTATCATAGGTTTCTTTGAGTTTTTATCATATCAGCTGGAGAGAGATCATTGACATTCAGCAGATTGCTGCATGCAGTCATTTAAAACTTTTGAGAGAATGCAGCACACTAGGGAGACTGCTGTTATGACTATCAGAAAGATAATACCAAGAGTTTGGAATGTGCTCCTTAATCAAAGTTCCCATGAACCAAACCAACTAAAATTGAACAGATCAAAGAATGAGACAGACAGTGAATCCACTCATTTTAACCAAGTAGCCTGTTCTTTAATTTTTTTTGCAACTGAGTCTCTATAATACCGGAATTTATCTGTGTGCAACAATAAGTGTTACCAACTGCAAAGACTCCTCTCTCTTTGACCAGTAGAAATCTAGAGCAATTCTGTTAATATCTAGTATAACTTTAACAAGAGAATTCAAAGAAGTCTTGTGCAGCTATAGCATTGCAGTAACATAGGTTAGGAGGAGTGAGCCAGTGTTCCAATTCTGGATTATGGAGTGAAAACTTCCCATTAAGATTTTTAGCCCACATTGGCCCTTCATCCTTTACCTGTCAAGGCATGAGGTTGCCTGTGTATAAGGTTGGCCACAGAATTATCCACAAATAATGATATACCCTGTGGGTGCACATGAAAACTGCTTTCCAGTTCTGTTGTTCATGGATATATTGCTTGGAATGGTGGATTTAGCAGTTTCTAGCCAAGAAGCTGAAGCAGAGTTTATAGGTTAAAATAACTGTAATATGTTTACACATAAGTCAGTTTGCAAGAAACTCTATTCAGGCTTTTGGTACAATCCTGTCTTATGATAACACTCATTTGGACTAGGTTCTTGTATCCCATGACTGGATTAAATTAAAACGGGGAGAGAGAACAAGTGGATCTAGAAATCTGACTCTATAACAGGGACAATTTGAACAAGCAGTTGTGTTAGGGATGTTTTTAAGTTAGCCACTGAGTGGACTAAAAGATATTTTAAGTTATATAAAGATTTGGGTTTGGC